CATTCCTGAACAAGCTGAAGTCCCACCAGCAGCCCAAGTTCCTGTTGGTGAACAAGCAGCAAATCCTCAGGCAGCAAATCCTCCAGCCCAGGCTCCACAACCAGTAGTGCCTACTGGCGGTCCGAATGCAAATCCACTAGACCTGTTTCCACAGGTTGATACTTTAGTAATTTATGAACCTGGTTATAATTTATTGGGACAATTGATTAATTTTATTTGTTGAATCAGGGCCTTCCCAATATGGGTGCAAATGCTGGTGCAGGCAATTTGGATTTCCTGCGCAACAGCCCACAGGTACATATGTCATCTTTTTATCTTTGAATCAGTTTAATGCTTATTTTTGTGTATCTGAGTTGCCAACTCATATTTCAGTTCCAAGCTTTGCGAGCTATGGTGCAAGCAAACCCTCAAATTCTCCAGGTATTATTTGTTTCCTGATTTTTTTTGCTCCCATTTTGGCCAGTCTTTTTCATTACTAATTATAGTTTGACAACTCTTGGCATTTTATCTTGGTGCAGCCTATGCTTCAAGAGTTGGGGAAACAAAATCCACATCTAATGCAGCTCATTCAAGCACATCAAGCTGACTTCTTACGCTTGATAAATGAGCCTGTTGAAGGCGGTGAAGGGTTAGATAGATCTGCTTTACTTGTTGATTTCTTTGTGGATAATTGGATACACAAGTTGCTAAGTTATTGAAACACTATCTGTTCAGGAACCTATTGGAGCAGTTGGGTGCAGCAGTGCCACAGGCTGTGACCGTCACCCCTGAGGAGCGAGAGGCCATCGAACGTGTAAGTAGTATTCCTCTCTACTTGTAAGTGCATTGTTCCACTTATTTTTGGTGCTCTGGTTTTGACAAATGCAAAAACTTTTGCTTGCAGCTTGAAGCTATGGGTTTCGATCGGGCCCTTGTGTTGGAGGTATACTTTGCATGCAACAAGAATGAGGAGCTGGCGGCCAACTATCTTTTGGATCACATGCATGAGTTTGAGGAATGATCTGACAAATGGGTTATCTTTGGTCCATCTTTTCTTCTGTGTGAACTCTTTGCCATGTGGGTTAAGTTTAGTAGGGTTTCTTATACTCTTCTTATTCCAGCTATTTGTCTTGTATCTCTCAGCAGACGGTGTCATATCCCCCCCTTTTATGTTTTGGATGGCATAAATTATCTGCTTCAAATATTGGTGGTTACTATATTATATACAGATTTTTTTACCTTTTCAGAAAAGAGAAGTGGATGATTTTGATTTTATATTTCTGTGCTTCAAATGTTCAAATTTTCGCCTTCATGTTTAAATATTCTAAATAGTTAGTAACTTTCACTGAATGAAGAACTCTGCTTTCAATGACTCAAGTGCTGCTGCTCAAGCTGCTAGAGTTCAAGGTGAACGCACGGTCGCTGAGTTATATACCGATAACTCAAAGATAACAAAGATATCAGGGATTGGAAAGACACCTAATCCACTTTGCCGGAAGGATCTGTTGCTTAAGAGAACCCTAGCTTGGCTGGCAATGGATGAATGTTAAACTACTAAACAACACAATTCAATTCTAAAGGCCAAAAAAATGCTCGAGTGCAACAAAATGTGATTAAACTGATATCATCTGAAGAGAAAATAGAACCCATATTTCATTCAAATTTAACGAATTCGATGCACAAGTAGTCAATAGAGCTCTATTCAGCAGGTTACACAAAGGGAATTGCTAAATCTGGGCTCAAGCTATTAATAGCACACAGCACCTTAAAACTCAAAAAGATTTCTACCTTAAAAGCTTACGCCAAATTGCCACCACTCTGCTGCCACAAATTGATGATATCAGTAGCCTGGTTGAGAAGAATAATCATCTGCTTTTGAGATATCCAAGGCTTGCTCTCGAGCAAGACCTTGAGCTCCTCCCAGGCATCTTTCCTCGGCCAGAAATAATAGGGGCTGAGAGGGATGGAGCCATGACCCGGTATCATTTGATCGAGGGCGATGCCGATGTTCTTTTCCATCCAAATGAACTTCAATACAAGCCTTGGTTTCTCAATTGGCTTCACAACTACTCCAAGCTTCTATAACATCCAAAATAAAGATATAAGTTAACTACAAGAGCATTGCTTTGCCAAAATAATACCCTCGTTCGGTAACTGGTAAAATGAGGGGAAATCAATATGTTGGATCAGATATTCACTCTTATATTAGAAGCAAATATAAGGATTAATAACAAAATAGATTTCTTTCACACAAAGCAATGACAAAACTTGTGTTGTGACTAAATATAATTTCATGCATAATAACAGAGTAAGATGAATTCAAAATTTTACAGCAGAGAGTCTTATTCTGGGCAAACGAAAAAGTTAAGAAAAAAGAAAGAACAAAAATCCATTCAACTCAGCACATCACTTCGATAAACCCAATTATGAATTAGCGTCAGCCAGCCTCAACATTGCTACAGTTTGTATCAGTTTTCGACTTTCTAGACTGTCCCTACATTTTCCCAGCAACCAAACAGAACGCAGGAAAACATATATATCAAATTTTCAATGACATAATCAATTTATCAGAAGAAAAAAGAAAACCAGAAAGAGAGTGCGAGGGATGAAACAGACCTCTTTTTCCAGAAGCGTTTCGGTGGTTAAGTTGTCATCAGCAGCGGCCTTTTCTTCAGCAACTAGAGACTCAGCGGCGGCGGAGAGCTTGACGTTTCTTGTGGTTTCGGTCAGTCTGAGCTTCAACTCCGGCAGCGAGTGAGAAACAGAGAAGGTAGAGGTCCTTGGCTTGAAATTCAATGCTCCCTGATTATTGTTAACCAATAAAAGCTTGTGCTTTTGCTGAGGCAACTTCTGCCTCAAGACGGAGGCATTCAAGTTTGCCTGACACTCGATCCCCAAACCCATAGATAACATCTTCTTCTTCTTGGGTTCTTATCTATCTTCTTCCCCTTTCAGTGCGACTCAGAGAAAGACACCTATTCATGTGAGATTGTGAGCGAGGATAAAATGCCATTTTTCTCACCTTGTTTGTTTCTGGTTCTGGGGCTAGCCTAGCTCGGTAAACCCAGGCCCAATATAAAATTATCTGGGCTAGGCTAAAGAACCCAATCCAAACCCGGCCCAAAATAAAACAAAACGTGGGATTTTTCTATTTATTTTTTTAAATATACTAAAGTTAGAAAGGGAAAGGGTTTTCTCACACGCACTGTCAGGTATCATGAGGTTTCGAACTTGAGTGAGACCGCCGATCTGCAAATCAGTTGTAAAAATAAAAGACGTGGTGATTTGCTTACTCAACCAATCTTTTTTATTTATTGAAATCTTGATGTAGAAGTAGAAATTGCCAATGACAATGGAAAAATAAACCTCAATTCCTAGCATTTCGTCCAAGTAAGATGGGAAGTAGGAAGGGATAAATGAGTGGCCAAGAGGTTTTCCTTGAGTTTATGGATTAGGCTTAAGCATATTAGTTTATGGAAGAAAGCTGTCCAATATGTTAATTATGAATTGGAATGCTGTGGTGGGAAAAAACATTCCCAAGGGAACATACAGATCCAATTCAAATAATGTAATGTTACCTCTCTCACTGATGATTGAAGAAAAGGATGAGCAAGTCTGATCACAAAAATGCATTCAAATATCAGGAAGAAAACTTGAGTGTCTATTTAGGCAGTTGATCAAAACAAGAGTAAAAAAGCCAAAAAGGTTTTGGTTCTATTGGGTAAGTCTAGCGGGCCATGGTGGATCCGAGTGACACTGACCTGTAATCCTTCCACTGCCAAGAGCGGGAGGTAGCCGTTGCTCTGTAAAGCCAGCCTCACGCGGTACCCTCCTCTCTAGGAAACCAGAGACCCAGAGCCTTCGCTCAAGCCACAGGGTTCAACTCTTGGCTTGGAATGGGCAGGCCAGTAGATTGCCAGCTCGAACCCGAGCCGCTAATTCTTGTCCAATTGTCCCAGCACCTCAAAGCCCCCACTCGGGTTACAAGCTTGTGTTACAAAGCTCGGCGGTATGAACCTCTCGTGTTAGGTTTATAAAGCGTAGTGTTTGATATCAAATGAGCGATGTGGGATAAGTTGCACTCGCTTTTATTATCTTGTGCTTTCAGATAATGACTTGACTTTTGAGGTCTATTTGGAAGCTCATAATTTCGTCAAAACTTAATCAATTTGTAATTTTCTAGGGTGATTAGGGAGTTGAATGAGGTCACAAGACTGTCAATGTTCAATTTGTCTCGAGGAAGATAACCAATAAATAAACACTTCACATTCAAAGGAGACTGGGAAAAAGTTTTATGGTAAAACTCACTGAAGCATTTTAGAGGATCTTCAAAAGACATTGTTATTGGCAACACTGGTTGGTGAAAGGTAGTAACATCACTTAAAGATTGACTCAAAATTTTGTTTTGTAAAAACACACATTAGTCAAAAGAATGTGAACCGTGGAGGTGGTTTCCCACGATCAAACCTGAGAGGTAAATTCACAGGACTATGTGAAACTATCTTTTTAATTGAAAATCTTGATGTAGAAGTAGAAATTGCCAATGACAATGGAAAAAGAAAAACAAACATCAATTCCTAGCATTTCATCCAGGTAAGATGGGAAGGAGGAAGGAAGAAGTGAGAGGCCAAGAGTTTACTTTTAAAAAAATCACTTTTTTATTCTCTCTCTTATTCCTTCCAAGTCTTTTACAAATACAAATATTTATTGAGTGATAAAATAACCCATCACTCAGATTAATTGAATTCTTTTAAACCCACAATCACAAAAATTGAATAGAGAAGGAAAAAAAACAAACGACTGAGATCGAACACGCAATGCCTGGGAATGTTAGTAACTTAAAACCAGCTGCCTATGATCTCTTACTCCTTATACAGATGCTATCTCCACCATCCAATCTACTCCTGCTCAAGCATCACATGTAATCCAAGTTACACCTGAAGTTCCATGAAACATTTGATCTCTAGTTCTCAACAGCAGATTTCAAAGTCACAATTTCAGCAATGCTCAACTCCACGCTTCAACATGGTATCTTCCGGCCTTTTCCAGAGCTCTAAGCCATCTCACTGCTGACTCCTGTGGAAGCCCACTTTCTTTCGAAATAATCTCCTCAAAGGCTAATAATACATCTGCCGGCATTTTTGTAGAAGAGCCTGCAACATACACAGCAGCCCCCTCCCTCAGCAAATTCCACACCCTCCGGCTATGTTCCTGTATTTTATGCTGCACATAAACCTTCTGTGACTGGTCTCTTGAGAAGGCAACATAAAAGCCTCCACCCTTTGCTTCTGAAAGCACCCCACCATTTTGTGAATGAGATATCCAAAACTCTCTGTATAAAAAATCATTGTCCTCATTTCTGCATCCAAAGAAGAACATCACTGGAGCAGTTGAACCAGTCAAACTTTGTATGGCTCTTTCCTCCACAAATCCACGGAAGGGTGCACAGCCAGTTCCAGGTCCAATGAGAATGAGAGGAAGTGATGGTGGTGGGGGAGGAAGGGAACCTTTTTGAAACCACACTGGAACATAAACGCCTGTTTATCACAGAAGAACAAAAATCAAGGACATGAAAGGGTAATTCGTATTTTGCTTTGTTAATAACATGCTTTATATGTACAGTATATGACATACATTGTTCAGGATCAAGCTTGGCTAGCCAATTTGAGCAGAGACCTGCTCGACTTCTTTTGAAAGGTGTTGTCCATGACACCACATTCACTGTTAAGTGAACTTGATTGGGGTGCGCAGAAGGGGACGAAGAGATGGAGAAATCCCTCGTTTTTAAAGGAGGAACCAACTGTACCAACCATTCCAATGGCATTTGAACGGAGGGGAAATCTTCCAAAACCTGTATTTTCATATATGAACTAAATTATTAAAAACAAACCTAAAGGAGGAAACAAAGCACTTCATCAACGGATTTTACATCACCTCCAGAACAGTCCGTCGTTCCCTCTGATTGTATTGGTATAGATCATCTCTTCCTTCAGGTGACACAAAATATTGGAGTCTTTCCTTTTCATGTTCAGCTGTTGCAAATATACTCATGACCTGAAAATTCCATGGAAGATCAATTTAAGGGCCATAGCATGTCTACAATAACAAAAATTGTTCGTTAATGAGACTTCCATTCCATATGCTTATATGTAAGATGTTTGGTTGAAAGTTATGTTACCATTACCATTTTAGCAATATCCTAACTATTCCTTATTATTCAAATCACTTTCTAAGATTGCCTAAACAGTTGAACTAATAAATCAATAACAACAAAAAAAGCCAACTGGATGACGAGCAAAACTAAGCAAGCAAGAATATGGCTATAACATAAACTGGATGGTTGCTTTCTAAAAGAAATGTGCTAATATAAATCCATGAGTTACATACTAGATTCTTGCCTCAAAGAAATAGCGCCGAGGAGATGCTGATGCAACATCCATTGTCAATTCAACAAAAGTTTTTAATTTGATGGGGGTACAAGCATCAAGAAGCTGATTCTCCATCTCTGAAGGATGAACCTAAAATCAGCAATGCCAAAAATAAGAATAAAAAATGATACTTCGAAGAACAATGCAAAAAATCCCCTTAACCGTTTAATGTATTTCCTTTCTCTTGTACACAGGTTTCAAAAAAATTAATCGAAGTATATTATTCAATACTTTATTTTAGTAAAAATTTGAAGGTAGTACCACTCAAATATTCAACCAATATACAAGCAAAAATACTCACAGTGATGAATGATTCAGGGTCCAAATTACAACGAAGTATGAAAGAATCTATTGCAGCAGGATTTTGACTAGGGAGAACCTCAAGGACGTCACCAACTTCATATTCAATAGCCTGACATATCAAATGAAACTTTTCACTAGGAAAGAAAAGTAATGATACATACTGGTTGAATCAACAGGAAACGTAACAAGCACATAGTAGGCAACTTACAGATGAAACAAATTCAAATTCAAAGTGATGCACCTCTTTGTCTATACTTCCTGATTTAGTCAGTGGCTCATTTTTTACCTACATGAGTAAAGTTTAAATGAGCTGAGGAATGCATGAGATAAAAAATCATCTGGTAATGAGAAAGAGAGAAAGCAAACAAGTCCCCAAACATCACAAACTTAAATTAACATGTGCCTAAGCAGTTAGAAATAGCAGAATTTTCTACATACTATAGTGTAACATTCTAGCATTACCAATTTAAGAATGCAGTCAGGCCTGTTCTTGTCAAGAGAAAACTTTACAGGAGACACTCTGCGAGCCCTTTCAATCTGCAACGCAATTTGATTCAAGTCTGAGAAAACCACAAAGGCATGGCTTAATTAGACACTACATACAAACTGTATGCAAGGATGAGCTTAACAGAAATGACACTGTGTAATCGAACATTCCATGTCTAACATAGAACTGATTTTGGTTCAAAGGGTTAAGTGGGAAAGGAAAGAAAATGATTTATTTTTTTATTTTTTTTTGGCAACATGTCTTCTAATAGAATCTGAAAACCTATCAATGGAAGTAAAAAGTCTACTGCTAAAAAAACATGCTTTATAATGATTCATCTGCATAATGATGTTTGCAAACAAGAAGAAGGTAATTGCATGATTATACCAAGAAGGGAACTCTGAACAACTAAATTACCTGAATTAGTTGAAAATTGTGAATCCACCTGCTTAATGTCATGGTACTGAATCCGAACTTTAGGTTCAGCCATAAAATTCTCATACGGAATAAAAAATTCTGGGCCATTTGGGAAGTATTTTGGATTGACGTTATTCAACATATTCCACAAAGATATCATCCAAGGATCCAGAGCAGCCTCATACCTGTTAACGGTAAACAAGAATAGTGTCCCAATTTAGAACATATAGCAAGATTTCAATAATTAATTCTGAAATAAAAGAACCATACCCTGATGGGTGCTGATCATCTCCCAAACCTCTTTGGATAATAGGGGTTGCCCCAAGGTCCAGAAGTCTTCTATCAAGCTTCTTTGCCACAAACTGCAACCATAACTCAAAAGTCATAAACACATAAATTCTTCCATTTAAATCGAAGGGTCGAAAAGCGACTTTATACTCATCTATCACATTAAAGACTAGACACTTTACATTAAATTTCTGGTAACCAGAATCCCCCAATCCAAAAACAGCATAATGAAGTCCTTCAAGCCATGACTCACTTAGATTTCTCTGCAGAAGATATTTCCAAAATCCCTGCATACACATAAAAATGTACATAAGCAAAAATAAACAACTAGGCCTCTCTCAAAAAGTATATAGTATTTAGTAATTGTTGTAAATAAATAACTGAAATGCTAAGAAAAGGCAAACCTTCATGGGATCAGGAGTATCCCCCTGGCCTGTAGTTGAAACAACAAAAATTACAGTGCCCTCTTGAGCTAAGCAACTCTGAGACGGTAAGCAACAACAAAAATTAGCTTAATATTCGAAAGTGCTAGTTTTTATTCATGTTTTATTATTGTTTACCAGAACAAAAAACAAAGAAAACAAAAAATAATGCAATGGAAGACTTACGGCGTCGTATTGGTCGATGGAAAGAAGGTGGACGGGGCAGCCTCTGCGCTCGGCTTCACGGCCTGCTCGCTCGGCAACGTCTAAGGCGTTTCCGGTTTGAGTCGCGTAGAGTATGAGTAGTTTCTTTGGCCCCTCCTCCATGTCTGATGAACCCACTAATGTCTCTCTCTAAGGCCAAAGCTAACTCAGCTGCTTCAAGGAGACGCAGAGAGAGAATTTCGTCGTCTCTGCAGCGTGAGAGAAAATTTGATTGTGTCGTCGTCTGTGCTTAATATGGATTGGGCCTAAAGGCCACCATTATTATTAAAGTCATGAGCTCCAGCCCATGTTGACAAAAAACAAAAAACAAAACTACTAATTTCACGGACACCCATTAATATTTAATTTTTAACAAATATCATGGGACACATTTTAAACTAGGAGATTAAAGGCTAGTTTGGGAGTGATTTTGGTATGGGAAGAAGCATCTCCTACATGATTATCTATATAATCACTTTAAATAATTTTAAGTGATTATGGAGAGAAACACCTTTTATGTGCTTCTCCATAAAATCACTTAAAACTACTTACCTTTTATTAGGATGAAGAAATTGAATATTGTATAAAATTCTTAAATGATGGAATTTAAATCTTCATCGTTTCAGTACTTGGATTTATGTATGTCAAATTTTTTAAATGATAGAAATTACAGTGAAAACGAATTCCTGCTCAATAGAAATTGCAAAATGACACCTCTTTTGACGTAAATTAAACTTGAGAATCTTGATCCTCAATTTTCATGATTTTTCTCCTGCATCATTTGAGAAAGAGAAACTAAGGAACTGCAAAAGGGAAGAAGACTCTCTACAAGAAATCGAGATACTCCACTGCTACCATGGCTGAACAAGGTTAGTATTATAGTTTAAAAGCTTAGTACAGACTTACACAAAAAACAAAGAAAACAAAAAATAATGCAATGGAAGACTTACGGCGTCGTATTGGTCGATGCAGCCTCTGCGCTCGGCTTCACGGACTGCTCGCTCGGCAACGTCTAAGGCGTTTCCGGTTTGAGTCGCGTAGAGTATGAGTAGTTTCTTTGGCCTCTCCTCCATGTCTGATGAACCCATCAATGTCTCTCTCTAAGGCCAAAGCTAACTCAGCTGCTTCAAGGAGACGCAGAGAGAGAATTTTGTCATCTCTGCAGAGAGAGAAAATTTGATTGTGTCGTCGTCTGTGCTTAATACGGATTGGGCCTAAAGGCCTCCATTATTATTAGAGTCATGAGCTCCAGCCCATGTTGGAAAAAACAAAAAAAATTACTAATTTCACAGACACCCTTTAATATTTAATTTTTAACAAATATCATGGGACACATTTTAAACTAGGAGATTAAGAGCTCGTTTGGGAGTGATTCTGGATATACCAAAATCGATTCTGGGAAGAAGCATCTCCCACATGATTTTCTATATAATCGCTTTAAATAATTTTAAGTGATTCTGGAGAGAAACACCTCTTATGTGCTTCTCCATAAAATCACTTAAAATCACTTACCTTTTATTTGGATGAAGGAATCGAAAATTTATAAAATTCTTAAATGACGGAATTTAAATCTTCATCGTTTCAATGCTTAGATTTATGTATGTCAAATTTTTTAAATGATAGAAATTCCAATGAAAACGAATTCATGCTCAATAGAAATTGCGAAGTGACGCCTATTTTGACGGAAATTAAACTCGGGAATCTTGATCCCCAATTTTCATGATTTTTCTCCCGCATCATTTGAAGAGTCTCCTTTTGCATTGGTTGTGCAGCATTGGATTTCTTATTGTGGTTGAGAGCATGTGGGTATTAAAGTTTACCAAGGGATCCAAGAGCTTTGTGTAAGAAACATTAGAGAGCATCTTCTAAACTTCTTGAGAGCACTCCTAGCATCCTACTTCTTCTTGAGGGAGAAATTCTTTCTTGAGCTTTGGGAAGGAAGAGATTAAGGCTCTTGCCTTCATTGTTGGTGTTGTGGTGCTTGGATTGCTAAGTTAGAGGATAAAGGCAACCAACTTGGTGATGTGGTGGATCAGTTTCTTTTTTCTTTCTTTTTTCAGTTAATACTGAATTTTATCTTGAGCCAAATAAGACACGAAAGAGTTTCTTTGTTTAGTGTGATGTAAAGTTCTCCTTGACTGCGCAAGATTCTTCCCACATGTTCCTTGTGTTTGTAGAAATTTATTTCCTTATATTTGCTCTTAATGTGTTCTGTACCTTTGTGAGCAAAGAACCTGATATTTGTTCTTTTGTGTAATAGGTTTGTGAGTGTCTTGGGTGTATTTGGAGTTTGGGTGTGTGGGTGGAGCATGTATTCATGAACAATTCTAAGGTTGAAAGACTATTAAATAAAAGTATTAAAAATTGATATAATAAAACTAATTTTAAGTTATTAATGTATAATGCGTTGAAAGGCGCTGTGATGTTGTTTACTCAAAATTAACAAGGTTCCATATTATATCATATAAATTAGAAGTTACAGTTTAAAAATGTGAGGGGTGCCATAGTCACTCAACTGCACACTGGTGCAATCTTTTTGTAAATTATAGGAATTACAGTGAAAACGAATTCATGCTCAATAGAAATTGCGAAATGACGCATCTTTTGACGGAAATTAAACTTAGGAATCTAGATCCCCAATTTTCATGATTTTCTCGCCCGTCATTTGAAGAGTCTCCTTTTGTATTGGTTGTGCACCATTGGATTTCTTACTGTGGTTGAGAGCATGTGGGTATTAAAGTCGGCCAACGGATCCAAGAGCTTTGGGTGAGAAACATTAGAGAGCATCTCCTAACCTCCTTGAGAGCACTCCTAGCATCCTACTTCTTCTTAAGAGAGAAATTCTTTCTTGAGCTTTGGGAAGGAAGAGAGTAAGGCTCTTGCCTTCAAAAATGATATAATAAAACTAATTTTAAGTTATTCATGTATAATGTGTAGACAGGCATTGTGATGTTGTTTACTCAAAATTAATAAGGTTTCGTATTATATCATACTAGCCCCTTGGCACATGCTCACGCATGTGCCAATTGGTTTTATTTTATTTTTTTATTTTTATTTATATATAATTAAGAAAAGATAACATGGTTGTTATATTCCATAAAAGTATGACATATTATTTGATTTTGTTTTCAATTTTAATTTTTTTTAATATGAAAGATATGAATTTACCATATTATCCTCATTTAATTAATAATTTTAATTCTTAATGTTTGAATTAACCAAGGGTATTTTTGGGCATTTTGAATGTTTCACAATTCTCTACCTTTTGCTTTATATATATAGATAAATTAGAGTACAGTTTAAAAATGTGGAGGGGGCCACTCAATTGCGCACATAATGAAAATTAAGGGTGGGCATTAGAACCGGAAAATCGGAAGACTGGACCGGACCGAATAAAAAAAACCGAAAAAGAAACCGGTTGACTAAAAAAGTCAACAAATTGACACCGAACCAGACCGGACCAGTTTGAACCGGTTCCGATTTCGATTTTACATATTACAGGACCGGACCGGTTATATTAATTTTTTATTTATTTATTTTAAAATATCTTATACTTAACCCTAATTCCACTTAACCCAAATAAAAAGCCCAACTTTAAAACCCATGTACCTTTTTTCAAAGCCTATTCCAATCCCACTTAAAATATCTCTATTTTCCCTTTCTTTTTTCTTCTCAAGAAGCTGCCCACTTTTTGGTCAGCTTATTCTTTTTGTCCTTCTCTCTCTCTCTCTCTTCCGTTTCCCATTTCTCTTCTTTTTGGTCTTCTTTTCAGTCTTGTCTTTTCCTCTTCTTTTTGGTCTTGTCATTCTCTGATCTCTCTCTCCTCCTTCCTCTTTTTTTCATTTCCTTCTTCTCTCTCTCTTTCCAGTTTCTTTTTCTTTTCTTCCTCTCCCTTTTCTTTTTTTATTTCTTCTTCTTCTTCTCTGCAACTTCTCTCTCTTTCTCTCCCTCTTTTCCTTTTCTTTCCTTTCTTCCGTTCCCTTTTCTTTTCTTCTTCTTCTCTGCGACTCCACTCTCTCTGCCCTTTTTTTTTTCTTCTCTGCAACTTCAATCTCTCACTCTCTCTCTGTGTGATCTGATGAAGAAAATGAAAGGATTTCTTGCTACGGAGCCTTCTTCATATGCTGATAACGAAGATCCTAGGACTAGATTCAAGCATCAAAGTCTCATGCAAGGAGAAATCTGGTGTTGTTTTTTTTTTTTTTTTTTGTGGTTTCATTAGATCTGGTGTTGTATTCATTTTTCGTTTTTGTGGTTTCATTAGATCTGGTGTGTTTATGATTTCTGGTCTACCCTGTGTCGAGCCATCTAAGAATATTGAAGGAAAAATTGAATATTTTTTAGCTGGAAAGTAAGAATTGTTTAACCAAATTTATGTTTTTTTTTCTTAGTCCACTGTGTATGTGAGAGAACCGGTTCAAACCGGAAAACCGGACCGAAAATAACCAGTTCGGCTTAATTTGGTTTCTCTCCCTTTTTTTTTAAAACCCGGACCGGACCGGATGAACAGTACCGATTCCGGTTTCGGTGTGAGCTGCGAACCGGACCAAACCGGACCACGCCCACCCCTAATGAAAATCAAACATGTATGACTTAACAAGGCCTATTTTGAGCAAAATTTGGGCAAAAAACATTTCTTTTTTTGTTTGAATAAGTTCTTCATTAACAAAACGCTAAAGCAACGCCAACAAAATACAGCAAACAAGACAGAGGCTAAACTAAGCTCCAGACAAAGAGCCGAGACAAACAGCCTAAGTCACGAAAGAGCAAATCTAAAGCAACAATAATTTATGAAAACCTCCTTAGAGTACAAGGGAGGCCATCAGACGGTAAAACTCCCACAAGACAAAGATTTGAAGCAAATTGATCTGACTAGCAGCTTGGTATATGTATAACTAACTTACTTATGGCAATCCATTTTGCTCTGTGGGTTTCATTGTGAATCAGGCAATGATCATGTTCAAATATTCTTTCAATTTTTCAAACGCCTGAACAACTCCTCCAACCGCACTTGTAAACAATGTTTTGACATATGGGGACGAGTAAACAACTACAAAGATCACAAACCAAATGACCCAAAATAAGAGGGCGCCTAATCCTAAATTCGGGACAAGGATCACCAGTTCCAAAACCAAGACAAGAGCTCCAAAAAGAAGACTAATGTTACTCATGAATTTTGCCAAATCTAGACTAAGGTGAGCGTAGAGTAT